AGTCCATGGAACTATCCTTTATCTTCCACAGGGAAAACGGAACACCTTAGATGGGAAAAGCACTGATGGAGGCCAGCAGTGCTTTTCCCATCAGTGAAACAGGGAAGCAGTTTTTGAAGCTCTGTGGGATCCACAATGACATATAAGGGTGGGAGTTGAAGAAGTAAGGAGGTAGACTAAATGGTGTTAATACTGTGGCAGGTTCCCCTTCCTCGGCTTGGGGAGTACTTAATGCAACCTTAATACATGAGTGCCAACGAGTTAAAATGGGCATGATGCCCATCAGGATGGACAGAGTGGAGCACAATGGAAACAGCCTCTCTAATCTCCCGGAAGCACAGCATTCTCATCATTCTTTTCACTCCTCTCCATTTGCGCCATTTGGAGGTCATCTTTGTGGACTGCAGAGTGGAGCAATTCTTCATTTCTATGGCATGAAACAGTTCGAGAGTTTGGAAATCCATTTAACTTCTCTTATCTCAAGGCCTGTTTCCACAGATAGAACTCAAATTGTATCTCCATTCTCTTTTCTCTTTTTCTCAGAGAAAATGACAGGGAACTGAATAGTTGTTGCCTTTGTGGAAGTTCTGCTGTGATTTGATGCCAGAAGAGGATCCACTGTGTCTTAAATAAAAAATGTCAGCCTCTGAAGAAGCAGTTTCACAGAATCTCCAGATGACTCAGGGACAAAAAGAAATAGGATAAATATCATGGAGTAACGAGGTGTGGTGGATTGATGCCTGGTGGGCAACTTGTAACACTCAGCTGACTGAATCACCATGGTGCTGGATGTGGATGGCCCACCTGAGGATTGTTGCCAGCAACATTAAAAGGAGACCTAGAGAGGAAGAAGTAGTGTTGGTGGTTCTGCTGTTGCTGTTGGTTCTCCTGCAGGGACTTGTCAAGCTTCTTTCCTGATATGAACTTGCTTGTTCTCATCACCAGAAGAGCTTGGAACTTTGTTATCCCTGAGAATCTGCATTTCACTTTGGGGGAGCTCTGGTCTTTACTTGAGCATTGCTTCCTGGTTCTGGAGAGTTAGATGTGTGCTGCTCAATCTCGGAGAAAAGCTCGTCAAGCTCCTTTCCTGACCCGAACTTGGCTGATCTAATCATTGGAAGAGCTCAGGACCTCATTCTCATTGAGGATGGCTGAGGTGCTTTTCAGGGGAGCTCTGGTCTCTTCTTTGAGCATTGCTTCCTAGCTCTAGTGCAGGTCCCTTAGTGTACTGGCACAGATCTTGTATCCCACTGGCACAGATTTTCTGACTTCCACTGCTGACCTTTGGGCCTTTCTTGCACAGATCCATGAAACAGACTTGCATGAGTCATTTTCATGGGCTGTAGGTCTGCAGCAGGACTCATACAAGACATGGCTGTGGGATCCAGGCCCTCATCTGGATTCTTTGGAGTCTTTCGTGCATGGGCAGATTCCCTGAACTTTCTGTATTTGATTCTTTGTGTGACTATTATAAGATAATTCTATAAATTATGTATCCTGTATTAAATTGTTTCCCTTAAAAACCCTGATAACAACACATGGGTATGGCTTGCATGCTTTCTCTAGGTGAAGATGGTTGTAGACGATCAATACCTGTCTGGATGTCCCTGGAAGATTCTGTCTATTCTGTCCCTCACCGTGAAAGAGGCTTTTATTAGTAAGTTGCCTGGTTCTGGTTTCACACAGTGTTGTCCTCCACATGCACCCTGGTGGCTTCTCCTTGGTGTGGCTTTGTGTGTACTATTATAGAGGTCCCAGGTGACATATCACAAGTACTCACAAACTTAAGTGCAATCCCTTGTCAGAGGATGTGGTTTTTTGAATGAGATATTACTTTTAAATATAATGGGTTTAGCAGACTGGGATATAGCTTAATGACACAAGCACCTGCATGGCAAACGCAAGGTTCTGAGGTCAATTCCCAATACCAAAGGCAATAAATAATAAATGAAATGGGTTTAATGAAAGGACTTGTCAGATATAATTTTGGCTGTTTACATATTGGTTTTGATAAATATTATTAGAGGCTTTGTGTTTGGAACAGGTGGGCTGCAGTTGTAGTTCTTTTGATTAAACAGTCTTCTCTAGGAGGTGTTCTCCAATTCCAAAAATAGAACTAATTTTTTACCCATAGTGCTATATGAGTTATGGCCATTTAATGGAAAGATAACCACTATTTCTCCTGCATTGCTTCTACCACACAACCCATCCCAAACCACTTCAGTTTAAAATCCCAGTCCCTTAGGATCTTGGTCTGCTGTATCTCACAATTTGTAGAACATTCCGTACTTACATCCCATAATGGTTTTAATGTGAAGAGTGAATTGAACACATTACGCAGATTAGGGAGAGCAGTGCTCCAAACCTTAACCAAAGTAACTCCGTCTTTTCTTTTCGTGGAACACTGTTTAGTTACCTGATAGGTCCTGCCCTTTGTTCACCTCACACAGCTATATTAGAGATTTGGCAAATGTTTTAATACTGAAGCCCGCAAGTCAGCCACAGCTCAGTAACCAAGATGACCCCTAATAAATTATTTAATCACCTATTTTGACTCGTGACAGGGTGTTGGACACTTGCTGTACATCTCTCTAGGAAATTCATGGCTCATCGGGTGACTGGACAATGACCGAACTGATACAAAATCAGGCAGGAAACCGCATCTGTGGGGGAAACCTCAGCGTGTGCATCTTTCTCCATGTGGTATGGGTTGGCACGCTTTCTGGAGCCTACTTCGTGGGTACAAAGATGCCACAAAGATACTTTACTGAACCAGAAAGTATACTGCAGTTTCTGAAAGGCTGTATTGGATTACAGAAAATATGTAGCAGATACTGCATGGCCCATATACTGATGACAAGGCATGCAACTGAGGTTGTCATCTGACTGGGGGAATCCGTGGGGTAGCCACCCTTCTCCAAGTGGTACAGAGAGGTAAACCCACGCGTAAAGCTGTGATCTTCGCTCTGCAGAATGCACTTCCGGGTTTGCAGGCAACTGGACAGGTAGCCCAGAAGCACGGACAGGGAGGAGGGGACACCAGTGGTGGGCGGGGCCGGGGCGGGGCTTGCGCCCAGGTCTGGTTGCTACTGTGCAGCTCCTCATACTGGCATACTGGGGGTGGGACCAGTCCACGGAGCTGACCTGGAATCACCTTTGAGGCCGCGTGGTGTCAGTGCTGAGAGGTTCTTGATGTTAGCTACCTTGCACGCTTTGCCATTGGTTCACCCACATATCTACAGGAAAGTAGGCTTGGCAATTTTTGTAGTGCTACGGCCATAGTCATCCACAGCAGTGTAAGTAACTCCCAGTGATTTGATTTAGCCAAGCTAGACATGTCTGAGGCATTTGGGGGACATTAGCACCCACTCAACTGAGAGGCAGACAGACACTTCTTTTACATATTTTCTGGAAATTCATGGATTATCTGCTGCTAAAACAGCGACCCAATAGATACAAAGATGAGGCAGTAAAAACCATCAGTGGGGAAAGCCTCAGGGTGGTCATCCTCTTTCATACGGTATGCATTTGCACATTTTCTTAAGTCGTCTTCTCCCTAGGTTCAAGGATGCCCTAAAGATGCATCCTAGGAAATCTTCAATTTCTGAAAGCTGATTTGGATTATCAAATAGCTGTAGCAAGTATCACATGGACCTATTGAGTGATAAAGCAACTGAAGTAATCTACCCAGGGAAAATCTTGGTGTAGCTACCCTTCAACTTGTAGAGTTGCACATAACCTTAATGATTTTGCTGTGTGAGTGAAGGGATGCTCTGAAGACATCTAATGGACTAGATGTCATCTAATCACACATGGTAACCCCTGAAATTGTGGTGGCTAACACTGCATGGCCCCTGCTATGTGTGATAGTTAGGTGAGGCTGAGCTGTCAGACCAGCGTATGTGTGGGATGGCCATATACCTGGAGGAGAGTGGTAGTTACTATTATTATTGTGTACAAACCCCCCTCTAAATACAGATGTCCTGAGAAGAGCCTAAAGACAAGTGTATATTGACCAAAACATTGCCATTTGGTAATGTGCAATATGATGTAAAAGATGTACTGTGTAAGATCACAAGGTCATGGGTAAACCCTGCTTGCTGCTGCTGCAGCAGTGGCTGAGATCCAAGCCAAGTAAGAGTAGAAGAAACAGTACTGGGGTAAAACATTAAAGTACCAGTTCTGGGGTAGTACATGACCAGGAAAGTGGATGTGGTGGTGGTCCTATGTCACCATGAGCTCAAACTGGAGTTCACACCTAAACTGGTACAGGAATCAAGTCAGGCCACAAAGTTGGATGTCAGATAGGAGAAGCAACACTTTAGCCATTTGCAGGACACTCTATGAGTTCTGGTGCATAGTGCACAGGTGCTGACTTCTGTCCCCAGATATCAAGGAAGGGGCAATGAGCTTGTACAACATGGCAGGAAGAGGTCATGAGAAGCCCACTGTGGCACATCTGTCCTGGCAAGTTGTGGAGTCTGGTTTATTTTTTGGTCTAATTGGCATTAAAGCAGAAAAGCCCCTTTTATTCTATTTGTATTTTTCCAACCTGCCCCATATAATATGGCCTCCTCACTTGTTCGCTGATGCCCGCAATTCACTTCGTGGTTCTTCATCCAGACCTGCCACTGAAGAATCTGGGTATTGACACTCACGGGTAAAAAAAACTTATGGGATGTGTGTGTAAACAGAGGACAGGAGCATTCCCTGGGGGTATAAATGGTAAAGACATTGATACCATTTAGCCGTCTTGTGGGCCCTCCCCAGGTGGTGATGCTGCATGCTGGACTGCAACATAAAAACAGTCCCTAGAAGGATGGCGTTGATAGGGTACACAAACTAATCCCAAGTCCTTTTCTCTTGATTATTTTTTTTGGCTGATTACCATACAGCCTTATAAATTCAGTAGCTTAGCAAAGGTGATTAGAAATTTCAGGGATGCTGCACCATGCAAGTTGTCCTCTCCCCTGTAAATCAGACCTCATAAACTCAATTAATTGCCAAGCTGAAATTGTCTGGGTCATGTTTTGTACACTCAGTTTCTTTCTGGAAAATTCATGGAACAGCAGATAACTGGTATCGTAAATCACTCCCTTCCATATACATACATATATTTGTATTGGGATTAAACACAGGACACATGCAACAGAAATGCTTTACTGCTGAACTACATCCTCAGTCCCGTTTTAGTTTCATAGGGACTCACTAGTTGCTTGCTGCCACCAAATGTGCTCCTGCTGCTTAACTCTACCAAGCTGGGATTACAGACATATAGTAGAACATCAAGTGAAATTACTGTTAAGGTGAACAATGTTTAATAAAAGGCAGTATCCTGATTCTAAATGGAAATGGACAGGAGTATTCTTACTTCGTGAGGTAAGGCCTTTCATTTTATTGATGCCTTTTTAGAAACCACCATGAAAAAAGCTTGTAAGAAAAGTACATGAACACATTTCAAAGTTCAGACTGAAATTCAAATATAGGTTGTCTTTCAAAAAAAAATCTCAAATAATAGTGCATTTTACAACCTGAAAGTATCTGGCCATTTACAAACGTCCTTGCATCTTTGATGAATATCATGATGATAACTGTTTAACTTGGGATTACAGTATTCTGAAGTATGCAAGATACAACTTTCATGCCGGATACAGAATGACCTTTTCTTTATATACATTCTATGACATGGAGAACACTGAATTTTGTTAATTTACAACTGCATTACATTTGTAAGGATGAATTCTTTGCAGTATGAATTCTTTGGTGACAACTGAGGGCAAAGCTTTTGAGGCATGAATTTATAAAATGTCTTACCCCATTAGTGCTCTGGTGCATAAGGTCAAATTTGACTAAAAATTTTAATACACGCATTACATTACTAAGGTCTCCTTGCAGAATGAAGTTTCTGATGATGTGCTAGAGATGAATATAGACTGAATATTTTGCCACATTCTAAGGTTTCTTTCTAGTATGTCTTCTTTGATGACAGGCAAGGTATGATTTACATTTAAAGGCCTTTTCACATTCATTACATTTGTAAGGTTTCTCTCTAGTATGAATGCTGAGATGTTTCGTAAGATGTGAATTAGTACGGAAAATTTTACTGCACTCATTACATTTGTAAGGCTTTTCCCCAGTATGAATGCTGAGATGTTTTGTAAGATGTGAATTAGTACGGAAAACTTTACCACACTCACTACATTTGTAAGGTTTTTCTCCGGTATGAATGCTGAGATGTTTTGTAAGATGTGAATTAGTACGGAAAACTTTACCACACTCATTACATTTGTAAGGTTTCTCTCCAGTATGGATTCTCTGATGATTTGCTAAGTATGACTTCGCACTAAATACCTTGCCACACTGATTACACTTGTTTGTTTTTACTCCAGTATGAATTTTCTGATGACGTGTAAAGTTTGAACTTTGACTGAACAATCTGCCACATTCATTACATTTATAAGGTTTCTCTCCAGTGTGACTTCGCCGATGTCGTGAAAGTCGACAAATATGATTGAAGACTTTTCCACAATCATTACATTTGTAAGGTTTTTCTCCAGCATGTGTTCTCCAATGATTTCTAAGGTTTGGTTTTTAATTGAAGACTTTGCCACATATATCACATACAAATTGTTTCTTTCCAGAATGGACTAGCTGATGGATAGTAAAGTGTGAGTCTTGGTCAAAAGATTTACAAGGTTTTGCACTAATGGGCATCCCTAGTTCTTCTGTGAACAATAACGAATCAATAAAATCATTTTCATATTTATGAGAAGTGTCTGTTTTGACACTAGAAGGATTTCTTTGGTGTAATGAAACTGAGGAATCATTTTTGATAGACTGCTCAGTGTAATTCCACTGATTAACATTCTTTTCTCTACCAAATTCCTGCAGTTCAGGCAGATGTGATTGAAAGTTTACTCCAAGCCAATTTGTAATATGCTTCTGCCTTAGATCCCTTCTACCATGTTCATCTCGTCTATCTGTGAGATTTTTCTTATGAATTGCACAGAATCCTGTGTCAAGTCTTTTATCATCTCTCCAGTGACACTCAACATCAGGTGTATTTGTCTGAATTTCTTTAAAGCACAAGTCTTTGGTGTCATGATTCTCATGTCTTTCCAACATTACTGTCTGGAATATTTCTCCTGCATCACTGTTCTTTTGTGGTGGAAATTCCTTGATGACAAATTTAGGAGACATATCTATGAAATATAAGAAATCATTGGGTCCTGATGAATTACAGATAATCAATTCTGTTACTGAGACACATGCTATTTCACCAAAAGAAATCATTATAATTACTTTGTTATTCAAAGTCACTGCAGAAACCCTGTGAATTTTGTTCATTAAGTTATGTTGAAATAATCTTTGGTCAAAATCCTCATACTACATAAAATAATTCAATGAATATCTTGACAGTTCAATTATCACCCCAAGATTGGTAAGAAATAAATGTTTTTGGCTTAAGAATATTAGTTTATGTTATTTTTAATAGAAGATGGAGGTAAATAAAACATAAAAAGTATCCTCATAAGGAAAGAAGGCTGATCAATGTTATCAAAGGAAGGAACTTCACAATAAAATAGCTATGATTCTTAGCTTAAAGCACTACTTTGTAAAACACCTTGAGGGAAGCTATCAATAGTATTGAATTTAGGACAGCATGTCCAAACATTTGTTTCTAACCCTAATTTACAGAGACTATAAATAAGAGAAACAGGATTTCATTCTTGGTCTGCAATTCAAGACAACATGTTCAAAAAGCACATAATATAACAAGTTCCGATAAATACAAAAAGCACAGAAAATAGTATTTCAAAAGACAGAAGATGGAGTTGTGTGCTAATAGTGTCACTCAGTCATTGCTCACAGTGTTATCTTGGTGATCAACATGGCAGGTATTGACTAGGATGAGTCCATGTCTTTCTTTAAACTGCGCAGTTAGGGTAGGAGTCTTCTGCAAATTCTAGTATGTAAAAGAACAGATATACATCAACAAGCATCAGTGTAGTGCATCTAGATCAAAAAATCACATGTAAAAAAGCCAGCATGGAAAGAAAACCATGTAAGGAGTACTTTGTCCTCATAAATATATGGGACTAATTGCATTAGGGTTGGTAATATTCTTACTTTGTAAAGGAGAAACAGGCAAAGAAACTGACATGAAACTATCCCATTCTTAATTCTGGGAATGAAAAATCAGGTGTGGGAACAGAATGGAAGAGAGTTAGCAGGGTAGCAGTGGGATTGTGGAGAAAATTTACTCTCCTAAATTTAGGAGAAATTTACTCTCCTAAAATATCTTTAATGAAATTTATTAAATTGGGGGCTGGGGATTTAGCTCAGCGGCATAAGCACCTGCCTTGCAAGCAGGCAGTCGTGAGTTCAATTCTTGGTACTGGAAAAAAAAATTTATTAAATTGAACAACCTGTATGATCTAGGTAGATATTTAACATAATCTTAATCATATACTATAAAAGATTATGTGAAGAAATGTTCTAAGCAGGACATGAAAGCAAAAACTTTGATCTACTCAAGAGGAGAAGATGGTGAATTAATTCTGTTACACACAGAAAATGAATTTATCTTTCATCAAGAGTAAACTAAACTTGGAAAACAATGGATACAAAGTTATGATTCTGTGGCTAAGGAGATTGAGACAGCCTTCAAAACAAGCCTAGTGTGCAGTGTATACTTACAGTAGCAAAACTAAAAAACAACAAAAACAAAAATAAAAGATGAAAAAAACCCTTATCAGCTATTGAGGATTGCAAAGCCCTGCCATAGCACGGCTCAGTGATCAAGAACAACCCAAAGCTGATGATTTGCTTTATCACTTGTTGCCAGGAGGACAATAATGGCCCAACTTTAAGTCACAATACCCACGTCATTCACATCATAGATATTTCTCATCACAAGAAGGGTGAGATCAGGACAATAAAGTGTTTAAAAGACAAAAAGTCTGATCATCTATGTTTTATCATAGTTTATATTAGCAACACTGTTCTATTTTATTATTAGCTATTGTCTTTAATACTCTGCCTAATTGTAAGTACCACTTGATTTTAGTTCTGTATGGAGGGGAGAAGGCACAGTATATATAGGGTTTGGTATAGCTTACAGGTACAGTTCCTCACGTGGGGCCTTGGGATGTACGCAACACAATAATGGAAAATTCTGTAACCCACGATAGGGTTGAAATATACTAAATGCAAAATAGTACTAGAGAAAGTCCTAAAACTAAAAGGTTTTACATATAAAAGAGTTACAAAATTGATAAAACTCTTAACTAGATTAATTGAGAGAATGAGCAAAACGCAACTCAGTCATAAAGAGAGGAGGTTTCATAACCAGCAAGTTCTATGCACATAAAATAGTATTGCACAGCACATATGATGACCCACAAACAAGAGATGAAATTGTAGAATTACATGAGCATGAGTAAGTACAAAATCTAACCGAGACCACAAGCACTGAAATTGAATCAGTGACCAGGAACCTCCCAAAAAAGAGAAGAACTGGACCCAATGTCTTCAATGGAGAATTCAATGAAACATTTAAACAAGAACTACAGCAACATTCATCTAACTCTTCTAAAATATTGAGAAATAGGGAAGACCACCATACTTGTTCTATGAGGTAGCATTTCCTTGATAGAAAAGTCCTATCACAACAATAACAAAGAAATGAAAGAGCAGCAGTATCCCTGATAGAATTTGGCATGAAATCCTCAACAAAATACTATCAAAACACATTAAAATGGATCATAAACCGTGATCACCTGAGATTGATTCCTGGAAAATAAAGATAACACCAATTCATGCACTGCACCAAATGAGCAGAATGTAAGAAAAAAAAACCCACAGGATCATTTCAGTTGATAAGAGAAAAATTAGTTGAAAAAATCAGTACCAACTCGGTATCATAGCATAAACCTAGAACCTGAAGATGTAGGCAGGAAAATCACTGTGAGTTTCAGGCCATATGACCCAACTACTCTGCTAAGCATGTACCCCTGATAATGGAAAAGATATTGCAGAAGAGGTATTTGTATACCAACATTCATATTAGTATTATTCACAGTAGCCAAAGGGTGGAAGCATGCCAAGAGCATTAACAAAATATGGCTGTGGTTTTGTTGTGGTTTATTTCTCCAAAAGTTCATGTTTCAGAAGTTTGGTCCTCCGTGTGATGCTGGGAGGTAAAAGACCTTAAAGAGGAGGTGAATAGTTCACTGAGGATGCTGTCTGCAGAAGGGACTAATGCAAGTCTGATGGATGACTGAAATCTCTGAGAGTGTGCAGTTATAAAGTGTATATCTGACCTCAAATCCAGATACCACATTTCTTCTGCACATGACCCTGGTAAGATACCTTCACTAGAGAATGAAGAAATAGATACACCAAATCCTAGTCTTTCAGATCCCAAAATGTGAGCTAAACAAACTCTTCTTTATACGTTATTCAGCTTCAGTGATTTCACAATAGCAGAAAAAAAGGCATAAAGACCACATACACATCTTAAAAAGACAGAAATGCTGTTATATGAACATAGGTAAATCTGGAGGATATCACATTCACTGAATGCAAACTGAATAAGGAGAGTCATGAAAACACAAACATACCATTTCACATATATGAAATATGTAAGATAGTCAATTAATGGGAACAAAAAAGAAGAATGGCAGTTGCCAGTGGCAAATAAAGATGGAGGGATAAGTGGATTTAAATACTCATGAAAATGATGGGAATTCAATTCAAGCAACAAGAAAAATATAGTATGTTTTAATTATGCCAAGCTCATACAACATAGAAGTGGACAAAATTTTTAAAAGATATGATCCAGGCCCCTCCTGCGACTCCTGCTCTCTCCCCAGAACATCTCCAGGGACCCGGGAACTCCAGCCAGAGGCACGCACTGGGCTGGGCTAGACCTGGCCCCTCCTGCAACTCCCGCAATCTACACAGACAACCTCACAGGACCCAGGAACTCCAGCCAGAGGTGCGCACGGGGCCAACCCAGAAGCGGGCCACCCCCGTGTCCCACAGTCCTGGCCACCCACCTCAGGACCTAGGAACACCAACCACGAAACATGCCACCACAGTCCTACCACTGCCATCAGGGACCCCCCCCCCCAACACACACACACCTCCTGGACCTAGCATTGCTGTTGAACTTCAGCTCCCACATCTCCCCCCAGAACCTTGGACTGCAGTGGATTAACCATGCAGTATCAAGGGGAGACTCAGTAAGAAGAACTCAGTAGGCTTTCATCAGTGAGGTGAGTTTGCCCCTAAAATAGGAATGGAGTTTGCCACCTTCAGTGGTTAAACAGGAGCAACAGAGAAGTCCCCTCCAGAAGGAAGCCATAGGTGAGTTTGGCAAGTGGGTGGATGAGTGCTTCCTCCACACAGAAAATATCAGGTAGGTTGAGAAGAGTGCCAACAAGACCTCCCCCAACATGGAGAAAATTAAGTAACGTAAGGGACACCCAGAGACACATAGGGTCTCAGACGAGACAAACACTATAAACAGGGAGATCTGGTGACTCTGAACAACTGGAAGACATAAAAACAGCAGGCACTAGGGATAATTTCCATCAGTACTCCTAGGCTTGTAAGCCTACGTAAAACATAGGGCTCATCCAACAGGCCCTGCAGGGGGATTTAGGTGACTGGCCCCCCTCTTCATTGTGGGACCTAGCAATTGGATAAACATCAAACTTATAGTGGGACCCCAAGATACACACTACCAACAGTTGACACTAGTGGATTGAAGGACAAAATATTAACCCAAAAGGGGAAAATGGAAAAACGAAAAAGCAAAATGCAGTCTCAAACATCTAGTCCACCAGGAGCAAGTATAGGAGACATTGAAATAGAGGACTTGAAAAGTAACACACCAGATATCTCTGGAAAGATAGCAAGTGAAATAAAAAAAATTCATGAGGCTATAGAAGAAATCAAATTAGAAGTAATCTCATATAAAAACAGAAATAATAACTTTAGTAAAGGTATTACTCAGTGCAGCTAGAGAATAGATAAAAAAGTATAGAAGCAGAAGAAACAGATTGAAACCTTGAATGAACAATATAGAAAACAAGCAGAATTCATGAAACAAACTCAAAGAGACATCCAAGAAACAAAAAATTCTATTGAACGCTGGCAAAACTATATAAATGAAGCTGAGGATAAAATTTCA